TGGGATAGATTTTGGGGGTAATTGCCTCAAAATTTCAGGAATTAGGGGCCAAAAAGGGGCAAAAAACAAGCATTTTTCTAGTTTCATGACAATAACTTGTGTGTAAGTGTATGGATCTTTATGAAATTGTACTACAAGGTTCCATATCACAAAGGGAAAGCTGGGTTTGAGTTTGGGGGTAATTGCCCTAAACCTTTAGGAATTTGGGGCCAAAAACGGCCTAAAAAGAAGCATTTTTTTAGAATCCAGACAATAACTTGTGTTCAAGTGTATGGATCTCTCTGAAATTGTACTGCAAGGTACCATACCACAAAGGGAAGGCTGGGATTGAGTTTGGGGGTGATGAATCATAAGGGGGTTCAAAAAATTTGGGGAGGGGATTTTTTTTTTTTTCCTTTTTTTCTTTTTTTCCTTTTTTTTTTTTCTTTTAAAATGTTTCATTTTAAGTTGGTTATTTCTGATTTATATTTAAAAGCAAATAATAATGATAAGGTAGGAGATACACACCAAACAGGATGTGTAAATTATTATATAATAAGTATTGTGCAATAGCAAGAAATTTTCAATTGCACAGTATTGCACAATAGCAAGAAATCTTCAATTGCACAGTATTGCGCAATAGCAAGAAATCTTCAATTGCACAGTATTGCGCAATAGCAAGAAATATCCAATAGCACAATATTGCGCAATAGCAAGAAATTGTCAATTGTACAGTATTGCGCAATAGCAAGAAATATTTAATTGCACAGTATTGTGCAAAAGAAGATACTTCGTATAAATTGCTTATTTCTTGACCAATTTCAATGGGGTTTTATTCTTGAATTCTTGGGGTTTTTTAATATGCTGAATCTAACCGTGTATTTAGTTTTTGGATTTTGGACCCCGTTTTTAAATTGGTCCACATTGAGGTCCAAAGGGTCCAAAATTAAACTTTGTTTGATTTCATCAAAAATTGAATTATTGGGGTTCTTTGATATGCTGAATCTAACCATGTATTTAGATTCTTAATTTTTGGTTTCGTTTTCAAATTGGTCTACATTAAGGTCCAAAGGGTCCAAAATTAAACTTAGTTTGATTTTAGCAAAAATTGAATTCTTAGGGTTCTTTGATATGCTGAATCTAAACATGTATTTAGATTTTTGATTATGGGCCCAGTTTTCAAGTTGGTCCAAATCGGGGTCCAAAATTAAACTTTGTTTGATTTCAACAAAAATTGAATATATGGGGTTCTTTGATATGCTGAATCTTGCCATGTATTTAGATTTTTGATTTTTGGGCCCCGTTATCAACTTTGTCCACATTGAGGTCAAAAGGGTCCAAAATTAAACTTTGTTTGATTTCATCAAAAATTGAATTCTTGGGGTTCTTTGATATGCTGAATCTAACCATGTATTTAGATTTTGGATATTGGACCATAATAGGTGAATGTCCAATTTAAAATTTTTAAGTTCTTAGACCACATTCATTCTGTGTCAGAAACCTATGCTGTGTCAAATATTTAATCACAATCCAAATTCAAAGCTGTATCAAGCTTGAATGTTGTGTCCATACTTGCCCCAACTGTTCAGGGTTCGACCTCTGCAGTCGTATCAAGCTGCGCCCTGCGGAGCATTTTATTGGTTATTATCTTGAATATTATAATAGATGAGATAAACTGTAAACAGCAAAAATGTTCAGCAAAGTAGGATCTACAAATAAGTCAACATGACCAAAATTGTCAATTAACCCCAGTTATTGCCCTATAAAGTCAAATTTCACAATTTTTTGTAAATTTTTGTAATCTTTTAGGTGTAATACCACCAAATCATAGTACGTCACATCCGGTTGCATACGAAAATAGGTCGAAAAAAAATATTCCCTTGAATTTGACAGTTGTAGGTAATTAATCCTACATTTCATCGCAGTAAAACATTTTTGGATCATACACATATATCTTGGGTATTTAAAAGCACCATTATTTTTTTATTTGGGGTTTCTAAAGAATATTTTGGAAACTTGAGGTTACATGGTTACTAAAGCTTGTACACAGGTTAATAAAAGGGGAAAATTTGATTGGTTAACTTCCAGTGATGGTTATTTTCTTATATGCAATGAAATGTTATGTGAAATTTTTTCTATAGTACTGGACAGGATAAAACTTTACTCATGCCAAGTATTTCTTTATTTGAAACAAAGATAAATTCTGCACAATTTTTTGAAAAGTGCAAATTTAACAAAGACTAATAGGGGTAAATCAATGGTGGTATTACACCTAATATGGGAAGCTGTTCCTGCACCTTTGACCTTGTGAGTACTCTCATGTGTTAAAATTTCTTGCTATTTAAGTGAAATATTACAAAAAATGAAATATTCTGAGTGGATTGAGTCTCCAAAACACATTTTATGAGAAAATTTCCTTGAAATAGGACTCTACCATGAATATTAGTTGACAGAACAAGCCATACTTAGTGTTTTGGGGAGCCTTTTCTCCTTATTTCTTATATTCTGCTTTAATAGAAAATTTTTCCTAAAAAATACTCTAATATATATATAGTTATAAGTAAATGAAATTATTTTTAAAGCAGTAACAACAAATTATTCAATAGAAGAGAAGCTTTTTATTCCCTCTCTGGAATGTAGCGTAAATTTAAGTTTTACGTAAGGACTTATTGAAACCTCCTTGGAGACAACTTTTATATTGATAGTTCATTCAGCTTGAATACTTCAATTACTCATTTATTATAACATTTCTATCATAAATGAGTGAAAGTTACCCCAAAATTTTTATTTATTGGCCTAAAAAGTTGATATTTTGAGGAAATGAGAGGTATAAATGTACCAAAACAGACCTTATAAGGAAGACTAAGAGGTTCATTAGTGATATTTATCATCCTAAAGTCATCTTTTGTAGCATATTTAACTGTTTGTAGGCAGATGAGATAAATATTTGATCATTTATTGGTCCATACTATATTCTATCATGATGCTGCTTGGTTTGGATCTTTCAAAGAAATTTTGCTTGAATCGCTGTAGATGTCATCTTACATTATACTAGATTTTTCTCAAACTATTGAACTGATTATGACAAAACTTGACAGGAATGCTTGAAATAACCAGTATTACAAAGGAAAAAAGTCACATTCAGTTTATTCAACAAAAAAGTCTTCTTTAGGTGTAATACCACCAAATCATAGAAAGTCACATCCAGTTGCATACGAAAATAGGTCGAAAAAAATATTCCCTTGAATTTGACAGTTGTAGGTAATTAATCCTACATTTCATTGCAGTAAAACATTTCTGGATCATAAACATAAATCTTGGGTATTTAAAAGCCCCATTATTTTTTTATTTGGGGTTTCTAAAGAATATTTTGGAAACTTGAGGTTACATGGTTACTAAAGCTTGTACACAGGTTAATAAAAGGGGAAAATTTGATTGGTTAACTTCCAGTGATGGTTATTTTCTTATATGCAATGAAATGTTATGTGAAATTTTTTCTATAGTACTGGACAGGATAAAACTTTACTCATGCCAAGTATTTCTTTATTTGAAACAAAGATAAATTCTGCACAATTTTTTGAAAAGTGCAAATTTAACAAAGACTAATAGGGGAAAATCAATGGTGGTATTACACCTAATACAAAAATCTTCTCCTCTGAAATTCCTGTGCCAAGTTAAACCAAACTTGGCCTAAATCATCCTTAGTGTATCTAGTTTAAAAAATGTATCCGATGACCCTGCCCACCAACCAAGATGCCGCCATGACTAAAAATAGAACATGGGGGTAAAATGCAGTTTTTGGCTTATATCTCTGAAATAAAAGCATTATAAGAGCGAATCTGACATGGGGTAAAAATGTTCATCAGGTTAAGATATATCTGCCCTGAAATTTTCAGACAAATCAGACAACCTGTTGTTGGGTTGCTGCCCCTGAATTGATAATTTTATTGAAATTTTGCAGTTTTTATACGACCGCAAAAAAATTTTGTGGTCTTATATAGGTATGACGTTGGCGTCGTTGTCGTCTTCTGGCGTCGTCGTCATCGTCCGAAGACATTAGTTTTCGCACTCTAACTTTAGTTTAAGTGAATGGATCTCTATGAAATTTTACCATAAGGTTCAATACTACAAAAGGAAGGTTGGGATTGATTTTGGGAGTTATGGTACCAACAGTTAAGGAATAAGGGGCCAAAAAGGGGCCAAAAATAAGCATTTTTGTAACTTCCAGACATAACTTGTGTGTTAGTGTATGGATCTCTCTGACATTGTACCACAAGGTTCCATATCACAAAGGGAATGCTGGGATTGATTTTAGGGGTAATTGCCTCAAAATTTTAGGAATTAGGGGCCAAAAAAGGGGCAAAAAACAAGCATTTTTCTAGTTTCATGATAATAACTTGTGTGTAAGTGTATGGATCTTTATGAAATTGTACTACAAGGTTCCATATCACAAAGGGAAAGCTGAAATTGAGTTTGGGGGTAATTGCCCAAAACGTTTAGGAATAAGGGGCCAAAAAGGGGCCAAAAATAAGCAGTTTTCTCGTTTCCAGACAATAACTTGTGTTCCAGTGTATAGATCTCTCTGAAATTGTACTGCAAGGTACCATACCACATAGGGAAGGCTGGGATTGATTTTGGGGGTAATTGCCTCAAAATTTCAGGAATTAGGGGCCAAAAAGGGGCAAAAAACAAGCATTTTTCTAGTTTCAGGACAATAACTTCTGTGTAAGTGTATGGATCTTTATGAAATTGTACTACAAGGTTCCATATCACAAAGGGAAAGCTGGGTTTGAGTTTGGGGGTAATTGCCCTAAACCTTTAGGAATTTGGGGCCAAAAAGGGGCCTAAAAACAAGCATTTTTCTAGAATCCAGACAATAACTTGTGTTCAAGTGTATGGATCTCTCTGAAATTGTACTGCAAGGTACCATACCACAAAGGGAAGGCTGGGATTGAGTTTGGGGGTGATGAATCATAAGGGGGTTCAAAAAATTTGGGGGAGGGATTTTTTTTTCTTTAAAATTTTCCATTTTAAATTGGTTATTTCTGATTTATATATAAAAGCAAATAATAATGATATGGTTTGAATAGGTAAATTAAAAATTTTAAGTTCTTAGACCACATTCATTCTGTGTCAGAAACCTATGCTGTGTCAAATATTTAATCACAATCCAAATTCAGTGCTGTATCAAGCTTGAATGTTGTGTCCATACTTGCCCCAACTGTTGAGGGTTCGACCTCTGCAGTCGTATCAAGCTGCACCCAGCGGAGCATTTTATTGGTTATTATCTTGAATATTAAAATAGAAAGAGATAAACTGTAAACAGCAAAAATGTTCAGCAAAGTAAGATCTACAAATAAATCAACATGACCAAAATTGTCAATTGACCCCTTAAGGAGTTACTGCCCTTTAAAGTCAAATTTTCACAATTTTTTGTAAAATTTTGTGATCTTTTACAAAAATTGTCTCCTGAAATTCCTGTGCCAAGTTAAACCATACTTGGCCTAAATCATCCTTAGGGTATCTAGTTTAAAAAATGTATCCGATGACCCTGCCCACCAACCAAGATGGCCACCATGGCTATAAATTGAACATATGAGTAAAATGCAGTTTTTGGCTTATATCTCTGAAACTAAAACATTTAGAGCAAATCTAACGGGGTGTGCTAATAATTTCTCCTTGATATGTTCCATTTTCAGAATTATTCAGTGTTACTTTTTCTATAAACCATTATTATATCTTTTCTTTCAGCATACTTATATTGGGTGAATGCCCCCCAGACTGTGCGGGTTAGTTGGGGTCAGGGGAACCCCTGCCCAAATTTTTTTTGAAGGGTGTTCCATAAAAACATCAAGCAAAGAAAGATCTACAAATAAGTTAACATGACCAATTGCCAATTGACATCTTATTGGAGTTATTGTCCTTGAAAGATATTTTCTGCAATTTATTGGTAATTTTTGTAAATCTTTTAAAAAATCTTCTGCTTTTAATTTAACTACTGAGCCAAATTAAACCAAACTTGGCCTCAATCATTATTAGTGTATCTATATGATTTTAACCTTATTTTACATGATTTCCAAAACCACAGTAGATACATGTGAGTGACACAGGCTCTTCAGAGCCTCTAGTTGTACATTGTTTTGGATTGTTTTTCACAAAATTAAATGAATATCAGAGGAAAGAATAAAATGTTGTTCTCATTGTTTAAAATTACCAATATTTCTTCTTTTTATCCAAAATAATGCAATGAATCCAATCATAACTCTTAAATCCCCCCTTTTTTACCCCATGGTAAGTTTTGCTGTGCTGCTACCACCTTTCAGACAACATCCTACATGTATATTTAATGGATACCTCTGCTTGCATTTCCTTAGTGTAAAAGTGTGAGTTTGCAACTTCTATGTGAGGAGTCTCAACCAGGTCCTGAACCAATTCAAATAACTAGTTCAGAGTCTAGTGAAGAGACCATTAATTACTTGAGGCTGAATAAAAACTAAATACAGGTTTGGGCCAAGTAAATCCACAGTTTAATTATAATTCCATTTAGATGCAAACATAATTGGCAAATATAGCCAAAGACAAAATAACATAGTTCTGCAAAACTGTGGTACTCCAAAAATTTGCCCAAACCTGTATAGTAGTGAGTAGAAATTATTTTAAGGAAGATGATGTGAAGGCTGTAGCAAAAGCATGCATCACCTGATGACGGTAAGACAAAGATGGGTCAAAATAGGATTTGTAGGCATCGCTACGCCAGTCTCCTTGAGCTTGGATGACCTCACCTGGTAGACCACACTCCCAATGCAAAGGAGGCCCCACCTCTGCGAAAACTATGACCCGAATATTGGTTGCTGTCAATACCTAAAAGGTGTAGAGCGTGTTTCAATCAAGCCAAAAAGGCTGGATATGTAAGTGGGGTAACTAAATGTTTGTGTGAATAAATGAATGCAGGACATGGTGTTGTATTATTTGGAACCATATTATGTAACAATAACAACACCCCCGCTGGACAAAATGGGGAATCATGAATTCTGGGTAGAGGGATCTCAAGTACTCTTTGTGCATATTGAATGGTCTTGGTTTTGTGGATTCTCAAAACAACCCCTTTGGGTTGAAAAATAATATCCTGCCTGCTTAAGTGCACCTTTGGGTCAAACTGGGATGGAGAAGGGATCAAAAGGTTTGTATTCCTAAGAAATGAGAAAAATGCAACTAAACAGGCTGCCCAGATAGCCAAGTCCCCAGTACATGAAAGATTGATGGTGGTAAAATTAGTCTCAGAATAGATGGGGTGATGGGTAACTTCCTATTGCTTACAGTTCCAAGGACTCTTTTTGCCCCCTGCAAAACAGAATGTACAAAATGACCAGCTAAAGGATCTGGTAATCCTGCTTCAACATGAATTATTTAATAATAATCAAATAATTTGAAATAGAGTTATATTGCAGCTTGGGAGATAAATATGCAATGTAACGGGCTGCATTCTCATTTGATAAAGGAAATAAAGGTATTGCAAACATTTTACCAAACTGTACATAAGATTTTAAATAAGTCATGTATGTCTTTTTTGTTGATTCCGCAAATGTATTACCCCGAAAATGGAGGACCAGATCATCCAGTTCCTTCAGATCCCTGGTGCCCTGTATGCCTAAACAAAAGAAAAGAAAGGGCAGCATTAATTTAGACATATGTTCGTACAATTGGGAAATAAACAGTGGCTGGGGTAAACAATATCTCATAAAAAATTCAAATGAACTCGATTCATGGAGCCTTGAAATGTGGTCTGCTAACACATTGCTAGAGCCTGGGACATGAACAGCCTTAATGTGAAAATTGAATGAGGCTGACAACCAAAAAAGTTCACTTAAAAATCCCATTAAAATCTTGTTACGAGATGTACATTTGTTAATGCAGGCAACTGTGGCCATATTATCACACAGAACAATAACTCTTTTATTTTCCCAGCTACTTGACCAGCGTTTTGCAGGTAAAATAACTGAAAAAGCCTCAAGTTCATTGATATGAAAACTAGAACAACGAGGGAAATCTTTTTCCCAATGGACATAGAACCAGTCTAAATCATGGAAGCCGCTCCCTCCGCTTCTACAAGCATCTCTTATAACAGACGTAACTGGTATCTTATCTAAAATAAGTGATTTCCCTTTGAAGGAAGCAATAAATTCTTGCCACCAAGTGATATCTGCTAGAAGTTCACCCTGGACGCGTATTTTGTGCCAGTCTTGCTTAAGACGCGTGAAGCTATTAATGATCCTGCGAAGAAATACTCTTCCGCCATGAACCACTGCGGATGCCCAATTTAATTTGCCTGCTAAAGATTGGAGCTGTGTTTTTGATGCGCGCTGGCACTGCGTTTTTGATGCGCGCTGGCGCTGCTTACACTCTGCTAAATCTTTCTCCAAGTCAGAGAGTTTTACATTAGGGAGGCGCAATTCCATAAGCGTGGAATCTATTTCAATCCCCAAAAAGGTTATTTTTTGACAAGGGCCTACAACTTTTGACCAGCTGATCAAAAAACCTAGAGAACACAAAAGGCGAACTAGTGTGTTTAGCGCTTCTAAACATCTTGCTTGTGTGGGTTCGCATATCAAGAAATCGTCTAAATATGCGACAATAGTAAAGCCTCTACGTGACATCATACGTTTGACAGCCTGAGACAACCTATGAAAAATATTAGGTGCTAATTTAGCACCAAAAGGTAATTTGCAATCATATAAAGTATGCTCAATGCCATTAGGAAAAACCCATTTAAATCCAGTAACTTGTTGACTTCGCTTACTAATTCGAACACATCTATAGGCAGATTTTAAATCAACCTTTTGCCAAAAAATAATTTGGATCCACCAATTTTTGCAGCATCATCAATAGTTTGAAACTTTTGTTTAGGAAACTCGCCCACAAGATCGTTAACGGAACTACTACTGGCCTACTACAATCATCAATAATGCGTAAACCCCCATCAGGCTTGATATGATGCCTAATTAAAGGCTAATAATTTTTGGAGTAGACTGCACAAATAAATAATTTCCATTTTCTATTTCAATTAAAATCTGGGCATGTGAAATAATGTCAAAACCATTTTCAATACCATTTAGTAAAAAGGATTTATCGAAGTCATTTTCCAGTTCAAGCTGCCAAACTTTTAGATTGAGATCACGTAAAGACTTTACCTTGAGTTTTTTGGAGGGGCACCAGATGAGTGTGATTGTGCTGAGTGATCCCGATTAAAACCTGGTACTGAACAGATGTGTTCAAATTTACAGAAGGTTGACTGACAACCCCTTCTCCCATTAAATCATCTGCATATCTCCTTCCCTGCATGAGAATAGGATGCATATCCTGCAGGTTTTGAAGTGCCTTTCCCCCAAGATCTTGAATTATTTGACATATTTACATTGTTAGGTTGCTGGAATCATGGGCGTAAGAACACTGTTTGAAGATGGGGAACATTATGACAGTGCACCAGCGAAATTTATGTTGGTGTTGTAAACACCTGTATTCTCTGTCATAAAAGAAGACAGGGACCATGTCATAACAAGAAATTAATTGGTATATGCGCTTTGTATATGACATATACTCCAGATAATTTTGTGCGGTAAGAGCCCCAGTTTCCAGCAACTTGTACATAATAGAAATATTGGCCATTGACCACTGACAAAGTGTGATTGACTCCAATTTGGGCTTTACAGGGCCCGACTTGAACACCAATTGCCACCGTTAGCATGAGAAATTAAACTTTCATTGTTATCAGATTGAAAAACATTCAAACAAACAAAGTTAATAACATCTAAATGTTTAGAGTCAACTATTGGCACCGACTTTAGGCATAATTGAGGGTCCTGCCACGAAAAAATGTCACTGACTCCAGGAACTGTACCTTTCTGTAAAGTTTCTGTTAATCCTGTCACACTCAGTTGATTGGTCTTCAGTTGATCCATCAATGCCTGGATGTATGGGTCCTTTCCGTCTCGTTGATGGGGATGTAGATCAAGTCTGCTTCCGGTTATTGAACTTCCGGCTCTGATGTCGGATTGAGGTTCCGTGTCATTTGCCGCCATATTTGTCACTCCATTTACTTGAGTTTCCTTTACAAATGTCTTCTCCACCGCACGCATTAACATCTCTTCTTGTCCTAGCGGAATATTGATTGTTTTTATGTCGTCTAATGTCAACAAAGACAACGATTCAATGCTGTTGCATCCATTCTTTAACAATTCGT